AAAAAAAGGTCCAATAATCAAAATTAGCGCTAATGATCAGCAAAATTAGCTTTGTAGATCCTAAGATATTTGGAGTTAAAGACACAAATATAAGGATTTAATATAAAAAATTAATTTTTTTAAAATTAAAAAAGTTTTTATTAAGTTGGGGTTTATTGAACTTTTAAGTAAAGTTGTAGAGAAGATTTTTCTGATTCTAATAATTTGTAGATCCCAAGATATTTGGAGTTAAAGATATGAACATAAGGATTTGCAAATTAGTAGTTACACAAAATATTATAACTATTAATACTTTGTATAATCACTAAGTTACAGATTCTTATATTCGTATTTTTAATCCCAAATGTCTTGAGATTCACAAAGTCAATTTTGATGATTTAATTATTATTAAAACCAGAAAATTTTTTTTACAACTTTACTTAGAAGCCCAAAAGAGATTTATTTATTAACTTTTCTTTAAATTTTAAAAAATTGATTTTTATTATATTACTATATATAGTATAATATATTTTACTATATATTAAGTACTAAAAATAGTAATTTTTGTATAATATAGTAGAAATAGCAAAATACTATAGTAAAAATAGTAGCCCCTATATTTATAGTTTTAATAAAAATTAAATCAAATATTCAAATATTGGTAATCTCATTAAGCATGATACACGAGCATAATACATTTGATTTAAAATAGTATAGATCTAAATTTTTATTAATAACCCTCTATAAAATTTATTGATAATAAACCTTAGATTTTAAGCTTTTAAATAAAAAAAGATTAAGTATTATGACTTCTCGTTGATGAGAAACAGCCACTCAAAGTTACCCTACTAATTGTTAAAAAATCAGTAATATATGTAATATTTTCATTCATTACTATGTAATGTAAATCAAAAAAATATTATCATGTGGTGCTACTACGCAAGCATATAGCCCACCATTATTGGCGAAAATGTGACCAATAATCCTCTTGGTTGCTTATATGAGAAAACGTTTTATTCATACAAAAACATAATCAACAATTTTTTTAATTATCCAGATAATATTAATAACAATTACTTTATCAAAGACTACAGCAATAAAATAATTTTTTTTCGTTAAAATTAAGAATTTTTAGTAATACGAAGACAGGGGCTATTACAAAAGCAGTTTAAATTCGAATTTTTTGTATCTAATTATTCCAGTGGACTCGTACAAACAGAAAATATAAAGTCAAAATTGATAGTCACATGATTAAAAAAACTCAAAATCAGTTCAAAAAATGTTTTTATAATATCTAAACCTCTTAAAATGATTTAATAAAGGTCTTTCCCCTAGATTTTGCAGTTCTAAAGGTAGTAAGATAATTAAATTTAACCTGGTGAATAGTTTACAATGACTTCTCAAAGATAGTTCGATTTTTATACAATGTTTATCAAATGATCTGCAAAGTTTAGTAATCATAAAATTAATCTTACTTAAAATTTGAGATGCCATTGCGAACGATCTACCAGGCCAAATTTAATTATCTTACCCTTGTTAGAATGACAAAAACCAGGTGAATAATTATTTAGGGCGCTATGAAAGTTTTTATAGCACTAAAATCTGTTTTGACTACGTTTTAATTTATTTACTCATAAGGCCATTCTTTTTTGTTTTTTTTTAATGTACAACTTTCTTTAGCAATATTTTTGTTATATTTAAACCTTAAAAAGTTTTAATAAAATCTTTCTCCTGGATTTTGCGATTCTAAAGATGGTAAGATAATTAAATTCAACCTGGTGAATAGTTCACAATGGCTCCTTAAAGATAGTCTGATTTTTATACAGTGTTTATTAAATGATTTGCAAAGTTCGGTAATCATACTTAAAGTTTAAGATGCTGTTGCAAATGATCCACTGGGCCAAATTTAATTATCTTATCCTTGTTAGAATGACAAAAACCAGGCGAATAACTTTATTAGTACACTATGGAAAGTTTTATAGTACTAAAATCTGTTTTGGCTACATTTTGATTTATTTACTTATAAAGTTATTCTTTTTTTTTTTAATGTACAACTTTCTTTACTAACAAAATTTCGACAAAATAGTACATTCTGAAAGGATGAATGCAAGCTGCAGTAATCACGTAATGCATAATTATATAAATACACTATAAATCCTATAAAAATTCTAATATTTATATCATCACGATTGATCAATTTATTATAGACCAAATCGAACGTACTCAAATCACCCTAACTGTTAACGAAAAAAAGATGATCATATCCGTTCATAATTATATTAAAGAAAAAATAAAAATGACTGACGAACAGGCAAAACAAATTACTAACCTTCGTAAAGAAGTTTCTATAGCAACAGGGGTAGGTGAAGCAACAATTGCCCGTGTTGTTGCTGAATTCAATAAAACTGAAAATATTACATCATCAGAGCAAGATCATTGACCTCCCAAAGATTTTCAAGTAGAATACGTGAATCCAGTTCATGAATTGATTTTATTTGCAAATAGAAACGGTCTTCCTCTTTCTTTTCGAAACATAGTCTTTAAATTATATGAATTAGGCTTTGTAGTTTCAAAAGCACAACTTGCACGTCATTTGAAAAAGCTTGGTTATCATTACGAAAAGAGAGAATGACAAAATATTCTTCATGAAGCTCCTCAAAATATTTTGTATCAGGCACGATATCTCTATTGGTGATTTGAAAATATTCAAGAACAAAATAATATACCAACTTTTTCAGAAGTTTTCCTTGACGAATCATATTGCTATATGTACCATAATCGCAATTTGACCTGGGTTCTGAAGGATGGTGTGGTGTATGATAAGGGAAGGGGTCGTATGTTGGTTATATTTGGGGCCATTGTCATTTTTCGTAATGGAAATAGCAATAAAGTGGAAGGAGAGTTCGTTCGTAAATCTCTTCTTATTTGGGACCCTACTACAAAGCAATCTACTGAGAAAGGAAGAAAGAAAAAGAATGCAAAAACATGGAAAACAGTTCCAGATACAGTGAAAGTAGCTGGTATTGTTCCAGATAAGGTAGATTATCATAGGAATTTTAATACAAAAGTATTTAAAAGAATTTTTGAAAATCTTTGTGAAAATCTTTACAATAATTATAGACTATGCGTTATCTATATGGATAGGCAAAATACCACAAACGTCACTTTGAAGCTGCGCCAACTTCTAATTAGAATAAATCTACAATAAAGAAGTGGTTAGAATCTTACAATATCAATTTTGACTCTAGTATAACGAAAGCAGAACTATATAAATTGGCGAAAAAAGAGAAAAAATCTATTTCTTTCGCTACTGTCACTATTACAAATAAGTTTGGTCATCAACTTCTTTTTACATCTCCATATCATTGTGAGCTACAGCCGATTAAGCTAGTGTGGGGAGTTGTAAAAAATAAAGTCACAGAGAGGCAAAAGCAGCCTGATATTCTTTCTCTTCGAAATATCTTACTTAGTCTCTTCTAGGAAGAAATAATGTCAGATGTAGTTGTTTCGTACTGGAAAAAATGTTTAGGTAAGGCAAGAAACTATTGGGAAATGGTTGATGATAGAATAAATAATGAGAGTGAAGATAAAGATGTAGACTTGTATTCAGGAGACGAAAGCCCTAATGAGGAAGTATAGCTCTTTAAATTGATGATCTATTGTACAACCCTATACGATGAATTTGATACATAATACAAGTTTTTTTTTTG